GTTATTTCCAAAGGAATTAACTCATGCTAACATTTCATTTTAGTTGGTGAAAAACAAGGGAAATTAATTCTACATATATTCTAAATATATTGATTGCATACTCCACTATCTATTAATTTGACACATATGTATTTTTGGACACCTACTATTTATTAATTTTCATCCAGATTCACGGTGACATTGGATATAGGCTTTCATCCCTATCTTTGCTAAGTGCTTTATCACACTAAATTGTAGATATTATTATAGCATGTCTTAAAGGCAGAGATCTTATAAATTATCTTTTTATAGTAAAATTTTAGAGCAATACTGGGTATACAGCAAAAGTTAACAAAATATTTATCAAATGACTAAACAGTTGATGTAGGTAATTCAGTTGTTCTGAAGAGGACAGCCCTGAAAAAGACTGCCAGTGAAGTCAGGAAGGCCAGTGGGAGCATGTTGGAAGTAAAATATGACTGGAATACAACATTGAGAGTTCATTTATTCCTCACGCAATTTAGTATTAACCTTCCGTTGATGTTAATTCATTTCAAGAAGAATTTCTAGTTTGTTTTTCTTTTAATAATGATTCAGAGTTTTCCAGAAGAACAGATTTAAATTTTGATTTTGATCATCACTGGAAAGATTTAGAGGCACTGATAACTTATTAGAGAAATGGTGTGAAAACTAATACTTTTAGAAAATAAGACCATTTAGAAATTTGAGAGTCCAGGTTTAATGCAAAAGCTTCATTATACCTTCATTGAAGTAGCTTTGAGATTAAAACTCAAATTTATATTAAAACACTTGATTCCAGAACCTATCTTTCAGACCAAGAATGTCAATAAATGTCATATTTTTACAATAAGAATGGGTAAAATTATTTTGTCTTAATATTAAATTATATTTAAAATTACATATGATTTTTAGATTGTAGCACAAAATTATCTACAGAACTGTATCTAAACTAGTTATAAAAGTAATGTATGCTTATTTATAGAAAATGTGAAAAATAAAGCCAAGAAAATGAAATTATCCTATATTCATTTCATCCAAAGATAATCATGTAATTTTAATGTATTTCCTCTCATTTTTTTTTCTCTTTGTCTCTTGCTGAGTATCTTTCCTCTCATTTTCCTCTGTCTGTTTATTTGTTCATGTCTCTATTCTTCTTTTCCTCTCACAGGTCCTATCTGTATATCTTTACTTTTCTGTCTTTCTTTCTCTACTGTTGTCCCTTTCTACTTTTCAATTAAAATGTCCATGGTGTTTCACATTTGTCACTTAGCTTTATATTGCATCAAATCACTGAAATTGTTGAAGAGTAACATAAAAAACGGCAAGTCACCCATCCGCTGGAAATATTCTGGAATGTATCACATAAGTGAAAAATTCTTTGCACTGTATCAGGAATCTGTAAGGGCAGGAAATATTTTTAAGGTCTGTTTCATTTTTAACAGCCTATGGCAAATTGATGAGATCTCATACTCTATTTCAGTCAGTTTTATTGAAGAATTTTGAGCTGGATAAACTGAAAGTGGCTATTGAAGTGATGATTTATGTCATGGACATTGTTGGAGATAAATGGAGGGATAAGGAATACAGTGGCACTAGGAGAGCAAGAACCACGTGTGAAAATAGGAGTAAGGATAAAAGAGAGAGACTGAATCTATTAATAAGATATCATGGGAGTAAAAGTTGAGAATAAAATTCTGAGGGTGGTGAGAGGGAGGTCATATAAAGAAAAGAGTTCAGTTTGTAAGAAATAATGGGAAAACGAAGGGAAAAATAAAACCAAGGAAGAAGAAAAGAGAAAATAAATTAGATAAAATGGAAAATAAATGAGAATTGCTTGCTGAGTGAGAAATGATGAAAATTTCTAAAAGCCACTTGTGTTTGCCAGGACTGCTTTTTTCTTATTCATTTTGTTTGTGTGACTGTTAAAAGAATAATTTTGTTTCCAAGTCATTACAGGAATTAGTTTATATGCATATCCATATTATCTTCACTAGGCAACTTTGTGTAAACTAGCCCGGGTTCCAGAAAAACCATGGAATATTTATTAATTATAAAATTTTAGGCCAACATTTAGTTCTATAAAATATAATCTGTAGGGAAAATCTACATTTTCAACAAGAAATCCAAATTTTGTTTTGTGACCATGTAACTTGGATATCTAACTAAAGTACCCAATCACTAAGTTAAGACAATCATTTAACTAATATATTCTCATATAAATAATATATTCTCTCTCTATATGCCCTTGTAGGTCAGTGACAATGGTTTTGGAAAAATAAAATAAAATAAAATAAACACACACACACATTATGGGTTTTTAGTATTGTTGAATATTGTTGAATAATGTGTCTACTTAAACCTTCTAATTTAGGTATAGGAGAAATTAAACTGGCAAAAGAAGACGACATAGGTTTTGGGTAATATGAATTTGTTTTCACTTTATTCATAGTCTAAGGTTGTTCCGCCCAATAAGATAGCCAACAGATACATGTAATTGAGCATGTGATGTTTGGCTGGTCCAAATTGAGATGTACTATAATAAGTATAAAACTCACACTACATTTTGAAGTTAGTACAAAAGAAAGAAAAACAAATGTAGAGATTTTTTAAAAGATGGTGTTTAAAATATTTTTAAAGCATGTAAAAGATAGTACTCTTATAGAAAAATTACTATAAAATAACAATTTTATTAATTGATTACATGTTGAAAAGTTAATATTTTAGATATAGTGGGTTAAAGAAAACAGTCTCAAAATTAATTTTACCTGTTTCTGTTTAGTTTTTAAGTGAGGCCACTATAAAATATAAAGTTAGATATGCAGGATCACATTATACTTGTAGATGACAGTGCTGCTCTAAGTCAGGGGTCTATAAACTACAGTGTGCAGATCAAATCCAGTCTGCATACGATTTCTGTAAAACAACCCGCCCATTTGTTTCCATGTTATTAATGGCTGCTTTCATGTTGCAGTGGTAGAGTTATGTAGTTGCAGTGGACAACATTTGGCCCACAGTCTAAAATATTTACTGTCTGGCTCTTCACAGAAAAAGTTTGCCAACCAGTGCTTTAGAGTAACTTAGCAGACTTATTTAACCTTTATCTTCAGGTTTTTTTTTTTTTTTTTTCCTGTATTCTCGATAGGAAAATCAGTGGGTGAGAATGGGAGCTAGAAAGTGGAAAGGAAGCATATCTTAGTAAAGAAGGCCTGCCCATCATTTAAAACGTACAAATTCCACTGCCTAAAATGTTAGTTATATCACTTAAAGAAAAAGAAAATGAAACAAGGGATAACAATATTAACAAAAACTTCAATAATCTATGCTTTGTTAATTCATACTCCCAAACAAGAATGATAACATATAATCCCTTTCTCCTCTAATATGCTCCTGTTACATTTCCTTACTGCTAACTTCACTGCTGCCACTTTTAAGACAGATGGATTAAAAACTCTTATTGGCTAAAGAACAAGTAGGAGAGTGAAGTAGTGTTATACATTGAGAGGAAAAGCCATTATACATTGAGAGGAAAGGTTTAAGACAAAGTAAAACTCAGTTGAGAGTTTTGAAGAGAAAGGGGAAAGAATAAAGCTGAAATAGGAGATAAGGTTTTTCCACATTTAGGGGTGGGCTCTCATCTAGGTTTTGTCATTTTGATTATATTTAACTACTGTTATATTAAAAGGGAACATTTGCTTTTACACTATTTTTTAAACCACAAAAATTGAATAAAACAAAACAGAAACCCTAGTTTTTAATTTTTTTTAAATGATAGTACTTGAGGAGTCTAATATGAATCTCATGGATGGACTTTGAGCCTGAAGCCATTTCTGGCAAGACTTGTCTTGACAGGCGAGAAGGAGTTTATTTTGCATGTGGTAGGGATGTGAATTATTGAGATCACAGAAAAGATTGTGGTAGTTAGTTTTTAAAGATGTTTAAAATGGTTCCTCCCACTGTCCTTTGAGTTGTAATTTTCTGTTCCTTCCATTAAGAGCTGAAATTTATTTCCTCACTCCTTGCACATAAGCTGGCATTCTGGCTTGTTTTGACCAATTGGAGGATGTCATTTGACTTCTGAGTCCAGACCTTAAGAGATCATGCAGCTTTCAGTTTCATGTCCTTGGAATGCCTCCCTGAGGCCATGCTGTGGGTAAGATAGTATATTATTTATGTATTGCTACATACCAGTATTACTACAAGCTTAGCAGCTTAAAGCAACATGCATTTGTTTTATCACAGTTTTTGAGATCCAGGAGTCCAGGCCTAGCTTATCTCAGTTCTCTGATTAGGATCTCACAGGACTGCGATTAGAGGGTTGGCTGGGGCCGCAGCCTCATCTGAGGTTTGGATGGGTAAAGATGTTCTTCAAGGCTCATTCAGGTTGTTGGAGAAATTCAATGTTTCACTCTCAGAGATTGACTGCCATTCCTTGCTATTTTTTGGCTCCTCAATATGGTTCCTTGCTACCTTAAAGCCAGCCAAGAAGAGACTCAAAAGATGAATATACAACCTTATGTTATGTATTATATATGTAATCATATACTTTTGCCATATTCTATCAGTTTGAAGCAAGTCACAAGTCCAGCCCATACTCAATAGAGTGGAGGGTATTCCACAAGGGTGTGAACAAAAAGAGGCAGCAATAATGCAGGCCACATTAAGAGTCTGTCATCACAGCTAGTCTAGTTTATTGGAGGATAAAAATTGTCAAAAATTGTGTAAGGTCTGAAATTTTACCCTACTTGAAATCTAATAAGTAAATTTACCACAATTTCATGGTTGCTGAAAGCAGAGACATGATTTCTGGGTCAGAGATAAAGAATTTTAATTTTTACAGAACTAGCAGTAGCCAGAATATCATTTTTTTCTACTGATTTTCTGAGCCCCAATCTCCCTGTGGAGTGTACCAAGTAATGTCTATGCAAACACCAGTTGTGTTACATGAGCGCTCTGAGCTTATGACACCTGAATCTTTCACAGCAGCCAGTAAGTATGCTTACCTTTTGTTCTGGAGAGAGCAAGGATGTTGGTACCACAATTTCTCATACTGGTCTATTGGTAAACAGAAAACAAAAATTGTACTTGGAGAAAATGTGGTTGTAGTACTTAAAAAAGAAAAGGCAATAGAAGTTTCTTTGTTTTGAATTCCATGTGGCAGTTCATTTCCAAACTACTTAAAATATTTCCATAATAAAATATATGTAACATATTTGAATTTTAAAAAGTAAAAAAATGACAAAAGTCATTTATAAGTAGATGTGAGATTCTTAACATAGCTAGCCAGACTTTCCAAAGGACTAAAGTAAAATTTCCTTTTAATTGGAGTCAAGAGAATAATAAGGGTGAAAAGAAGCATCTCCCAAAAGCAAATATTTTTGTAAAAAAATTCAAGACTTTTTTCCCCAGTTAGAAGTAGATTATAATAAAGAAAAATTTTTCTTGTCATGTTATTTTAATTTTTTCAAGGCATATAACTTTAAATAATAATTTTAGGGGAGATTAACTTTGGTAATTTCTTTTCAGAATTATGTATATGCATACATATGTGTTTGTGAGTCTGTGTTATATATTTTGTTTTACTATTTCTATAAAATATTACTGATAATTTGTGATGTGGATGAGGGGGGTAGTTAGAGAAAAGAGAAGTCCTTCATAAGAGGAGTAAGTTTTTATTACAAAACTGAACAAGGATAATGGGAATGTGTAGTAAATTTTACAACATTTATATACAAGTCACAAATTTACATTAATAAGTAAATTAAGGCATTTTCCCTAGTATATAGAAACAACTATAATGACATTAGAAACTAAAACAAAAGAAAAAAAGGAAGAAGAAACAAAACCAGGCAATCATCAAAGGAAACATCTATCTTGTGTTCAAAATTACTTTTAAAATGTGTCACAGTGATGAGAATGCTTTGTGCAAATGTCCAAAATATAACCCATGGTGAGTTCCAACTAGAAAACCACTTTATTCTGCCTCCCCCAAAACTGACCTTTTAAAACTGTGCTGAAGCTAATTTTTCCTTTTTCTCTGGGTTTAAGTTTGAGAAGCCTATAGCTTATCTCTTAACTTTTCACTTGTGTCTTAGTCTACTCAGGTTTCCATAACAAAATAACATAGACCGAGTGGTCTAAACAACAGAAATTTTATTTTCTCACAATTCTGGAGGCTGAAAGTTCAACATCAAACCAATTTGGTTTCTGGAGAGGGCTCATTTCTTGGCTTGCAGTTGGCTTCCTTTTCACTTATCTTCATATGTTCTTACCTCAGTGTGAAACCACCTCACCTCAGGATTTTATAAAATCGATTAAGAAAAAAAAATCCAGCTAATCACAGCAGCAATCATTATGCCAACTTGCCTTTTGGCTCACTTACTTGTAGAGTCACTACTCCAGTGTAATGTGGCCCTTGTCACAAGACTCTTTTCATTTTCTATTCTATGAAGTCTAAGACATTGTGAGATGATAAGCCTTCTACTGGAGCTTCTTTCCTAAGTTCTTCATACTAAGAAAACTACAGATGCCAGCTGGTCTGGTGGGCCCAGTAAGAAGCTGACTCATGAAGAAATGCAGTTGCTGCATCTTGATGATTTCATGTCCCTTATCCTGACCAATTGATGACCTCAAATTTTCCAGCCCCTCACTCTCCACAAATCCCCTTGAAAACCCTTGCCCACAGCCCCTTGACAAAATGGATTTGAGGCTTGAGAATTCTTCTCATTTCCTCATTGGGTGAGTTGTGATTATTAAACCCTTTCTCTACTGCAACCCTGCTGTCAGCGTATTGGTCTGTGGCTGTGCAGTGGGCATAGAAAACTGGCAGTCCTGTAACAAGTGGGTGTGCAGCTGAGGGTAGAAGTAGGGGTGGCAGGAGAAGAGAAAGAGTTAGAAAAAAAGAAAAAGAACGCTTTCTCTGGTGTCTCTTCTTATGAAGACACTTATCCTACTGGATTAAGGTCACACTCTTATGACTTCATTTAACCTTAATTACTTCCTTAGAGGACATGTCTCCAAATTCAACCTCACTGTGGATTAGGGCTTCAACATATGAATTTGTAGAGATGCAAACATTCAGTTTATAGCAGTCAGTAAATAGAAAGTTTTATTCCTCTTTAACCTCAAACATTCTCACTTCAGTAATTTTTATGTCCATTCGAGTACAAAAATTAAAAATCATGAAATTCCTTCAAAATTGTAACATGTGCTTTCTCTGCCCATCTTACTTTTCTTACCCCTCCTGTAGCTTACTGGCAACGATGAGGGAGGATAATGAATTAAAAATAGGCAAGGAGCAAGAGTAGCCCAGTTAGTCTCATCAGTCAAGGGTCGGCAAACTTTCTGTAAAGCGCCAATCAGTTTTGCCAACATAGTCTTTATTGTAGTTACTCAACTCCAACATAGTAGTACAATAGATGAAAAATAGAAACCATAATTGTGTTCCAGAAAAATTTTTATTTACAAATGCAGGCAGGCCAATCTCTTTTCTAGATAATTAAAGAAAAAGGAATCCATTTTTATCATCCTGCTACTTGGTTTGGTATAGCAACAGATGAGAAGCTGCAATCTTTGGGGATGGGATGGGTAGGAATGTACATTTATTCTAAGCGTGTTTTCCTCACTCAGTGAATTTCAACATTTGCTGCATGTTAGAAATCTCTGGGACACTTTAAGAAAATCAGATTTTAAAATGCGATGCCCAGGCTACAAGGAGATAAGTTAAATCAGAAGGTGGCGATTTGATACCCAGTACTAATATTTTTTTAAAGATCCAACATGCCATCAAGAGTAGAAATAACTTTTTTAGCTGTAGCTTACTGAAAATAGTCAAACACCATAAACACATTAGCACCTCGAACATATAAATGTTACCAGAAGCACCTTGGCAGAAGTTCCTCAGCAGTATTTATCCAGGTTTTGTATTATCTGATTCTTTCTTTTTTTTTTTTTTTTTTTGGTGCCTGCATTGATTCTGCTCCATGAATTCATCTAGGCAACTTCATTAACTTATTTTTTGAATATTTATCTCAGCTTTTACCTGAAACATTTCTTTCACAACATGTGGAATATTTCTCCTAGGTTCACAGTCTACTGAAGGTGCTTTTGCAAACTTACTACTGAGAGCTATCTCACATAGTTGACTCCGTCTTGCTTCTGACCCCTAAGTCGTCCTTGGTCATTCTTGGGCATAGGCCAAGCTAACTTTGGGAGGAATTTAGTTTACAGTTTAACTTGAACACAACAATAACAACCCCTCCTTAAACTACTCTTCTCTTTGCTCAGAGACCCAAAACCACCCTTGTGAAACTAATGAAAAGTCACAAGAATAGGATTATGGGAGGGGCCTGAACTCTGCTAAGATGTAGGCATAGTGTCTATAATCCTTTACTGCTCAGGAGTTATGTGACCAGAGGTCACAAGATTTGTGACTTGACCAATTACTACTATAGATAACATCACTATTGTAGAACCTAAGAATGGTTTTTTGAGATACCTTTCAGACTGTTCCCACCCAGACTCATGACTCAACTGATCCTGTAGCCCCACCCAGAGGTGGACTCAGCATATGAGTACCATTTTCCACACCCCTATGATTTCATCCTCAGTCAGTAAAGATCACCCATTCCCTAGCTATGATATGAGTGCTAACTTCAGTTCTCTCATGTGGGCCAGCCTCACATCAATTAAACCACTTCTCTACTGCAATGCTGTAGTCTCAGTGGATTGATTTTTGTCTATGCAGTGGGCAGGAAGAACCCATCTGATGATTACATGACTAAAATAAGTAAAAGGCACTCTGCACTCATGCCTTGCTACAGCCAATACTTAATAGAGCCACAGGCTAAAATGTTCTGAAAGTTGTTACTCTTAATTAGCTCTGTGTGTGGGTGTGTATGTGTCGAGCATAGTTTTGTGTTGACTGGAGGGCAGTCATTCTTTGCTGATACAAAATTAACATTTTTTAAATCAGCATTTATCAGCATTTAATTTTTTAATTAAAATCAGCATTTAATGCTAATTTTTTATCAGCTTTATAATTTTTTATCAGCATTTCTCAGGGTTTACCTATTTATTGTTGTTATATTTAGGTGCAGATGTTTGCTGACACAGCCTCAGCCTCATGGGAGGGACTCAACAAAATGGAATTTGTGGTCTCTTCATTATAGGCAGAGGGTGAAGAAAAATGGGCAGCTTAATATCAGTCTAAGTTTGTTTAGATTATGTGGACTTCTAGATGGCTTGAGCAATTGGTTCTGGAGTATTTAATGTCATATGATTTACAGCAATGTCATATTCACAGAAGCACTGACAACACCCTAGCTCTTCGTTTCCGAAACCACGAGGTTTCTGGAACACAGGTTAAGATCAGGCTGAGCCCTGTTCTTAGTCATAGAGTGGTGTTTTCTCCTTTTTAATTTTTAAATGAAATAAATCTGTTTTTTCCTATTCAAGGCAATTATAAATTCAAGACATCAGACAGCTTCCAGGACTGAGCCTACCTAGATAAAGTGTGAGGAGGTTAGTGCTGCCCATAATTAAGTTCATTGTTTCCTTCATATATCCCAGCTGAATCACATGACTCTTACACATTTAAGAAAATTAATACTTTTTTTACTTTAGCATTATGTGACCCACACTTTATTATGTTTCACGAGACTCTTTCTGTAGTCTCAACTTTGTATATTGCCTTAAGCCATGAATACAAGTAAACACTGCAGAACGTGTGAGGCATTTGATGTAACTGAGTTTTAGAAGATACCTTATTTGATGTTCTGGATAATTATAGAATATCGTGTTTCTTTTCAGCAGACTGTCATCTCATATTCACCCTGAATGAAGAATGAGTAAATTTAAGAATGTTCTTTTCCTATCAAATTGAAATGTTGCTTCTTTTCATTTTGCATATTTTTGCTTTTTGTGTTCTTTTGATTAGGTGAACTAATGTTTTTTTTTTTAATCTTATGGTTTGCTTTTATTGCCAATAGTCAACATTTGGTTTTATTTATTATTTGTATACTTTTTATTATTTTCTAATGTTTAATGTCTGTATTTCTCTTTAGTAATTACTTTCATCAAATTTTCTTAGGTTCATTTGGTTGTCTTTTTAAAAACTATTTTCTTGAATTAAGTATGTAATTAATTTGTGTTCATTTTTTGTTTTTAGAAATGAAAATATTTAAAGCAGAATTTTCCTCTGCAGTGTTCTAGTTGTATCCCATGTTTTCATAACATTCTCTATAACTTCTGTTTTGTCCTTTCTTTGAACTTATGTAAGTGTATCACTTTAAAAATTATCTCATTTTTAGACAATCCAAAATTCCAATAAATCACAGTGTTGACACTATTCTGACTATAACATAACAAAGCTAGAATGTAGCAAAAGAAAACTAAAAACAAAAGTAGAGACACATAGAATCTCTCTTTCTATCTTCTATCTCTCTCAGATACACACACACAGACACACACATACACACAAAAATACTTACATTAACTCCAAACAAGGACTTAAAAGTATTAAACTAATAAAATGTTACAAATATTTCTTATGAATCAATTAATATTTTAAAAATCCTTTAAAAAGCAAAACCCACATATTTTAATGCAAAAGAAAAAAAGGAACTATATATCTTGTTCCCAATCAATGTTTTGTAAATGTTAGAATAATTGTAGTTGCATATATAAAAAACACCAATACCTCTTCTCTTAATTGTTAACAAGATAAAGAATGGATAATAGGAGTCAAAGAAATGTAGCACATCTTAATAACTAATATTTGTTTACTAAAACAGAAAAAATTTTCAAAGGAACAAAGATACCTACGTGTAACTATTCAGGGATAAATTCAAGTGAAGAATATTTTCAGAAGTTGAGAAAAATACTATAACATAAAGGAAAGGAAATGAGTAATAAACTACAATTAGACTGAAGAAACCCACTCAAAAAATAATATTCAGAAATAATGTAGAAGGATGTATGTTTTTCTCAAGGGGATTTTATAGAGATATTAATTGAAAATAATATAAAATATTATAAAACAATGGATCTAGAAAACCAAGTGGGAATTAGAAATAAATATTTTAAGATATACTGGCAGTATTGAGCTATGTGAGTTAATTAGTTTTACAGTATAACTTAAAAATGATGAATTAACCTCCAGGCTGATTTAAGCTGATCCATTACACAAAGGAAAATATGAGGTAACCTCAGGTGCCTGTTTACCAAAGACTTTTAAAAAGCAATGTAATAAAGATCATCTTAGTCATTCTAAAGTAAGAATAAATGTCATAAAAAAGAGAAAGTGAGAAATTGAATTATGAAAAGAATTATGCTTTTATTTATGAAATTCTAATTTAGCTTGGAATTAATAATTCTTTTTATTCCGATAAATGAGAAAATGACATAATGCTTATGATGTCCAAGAGAAAACAAGGTAGCAATGCATTTAAAATTTTTATTATTTTATCCTCATGCTACAAGAAATTAGAAGTCTTTAAATAATACATCTTGTCTGGAAAAGCACTTATATTTTGGATAAACTTAGTGTTCTGGAAACCATGTAAAATGTCTAGGTACTTAATGTTTATAAAATCTTAGAGAAGTCAAATTTGTGTATATAACAATAATATACACAAATATATTTATACATCTATATCCATCTACTTACCTATCCCTGTGCCTTTATATCTGTATCTATGCCTTCAAAGAGACAAGATAGGATGTAAACATTTGAATAAAATTTGTAATGCATGGAAGCATTTATTTAAAATTGTTATATTTCAATAATAGGCAGAATTATTTTCAAAATATTAACTTGATAAAGGATTTCTTAATATTCTCACTGAATTCATCATGGTTCTCCAGAGAAAAGGAATCAACAGGTTATCTATCTATCTATCTATCTATCTATCTATCTATCTATCATCTATCTATCAAGAGATAAAAATATATTTATTATCAGGAATTGGCTCACATGATTATGGAGGCCAAAAAGTTCCTTCATCTATTGTCTATAACCTGGAAGCCCAGAGAAACCAGTGGTATAATTCTAGTTTATGCTCAAAGGCTTGAGAATTAAGGAAGCCAATGGTGTATGTCCTAGTTCAAGTCTGTGGGCAGGAGAAGATGGATGCCCTTACTCAAATAGAGAAAGTGAATTAAACCTTCTTCCATCATTTTATTCTATTTTATGCCCTCTGAACAAGCAGATTGACTGATGCTTGTTCACACTAATCAAGGCAATCTTTTTTACTCAAACTACTGATTCAAATGTTAATATCTTCTAAAATCACCCCCATGGATACACTCAGAAATGGTGTTTTGCTGGTTTGGCTCTGTGTTCACACCCAAATCTGATGTTATATTGTAATCCCCAAGTATTGAAGAAGGGCCTGGTGGAAATGATTGAGTCATGGGGACAGACTTCTTCCTTGTTGTGCTCATGATGGAGTTCTTATGAGATCTGATTGTTTGAAAGTATGTAGCACTTCTCCCTTTCTCTCTCTCTCTCTCTCTTTCTCTCCTGCTTCACCATGGTAAGATGTGCTTGCTTTCCCTTCACCCTCTGCCATGACTGTAGGTTTCCTAAGGCCTTCCAGACATAGTTCCTGTATAGCCTGTGGAACTGTGAGTCAATTAAACCACTTTTCTTCATCAATTACCTAATCTAAACTAGTTCTTTATAGCGGTGTTGGGATGGACAAATCCATCGGCTATCTGGGCATCCCTTAGTTCAGTCAAATTCATACATAATGTTAGCAATCACATTATCACATTCACCCATGGTGTTTTTTGTGTATTGTGTTTTAAAATTTAATTTTGGATGTCTCTAAAACCATATTTATAATTTTATTTAAAATATCAACAGTTTTCTAAATTCAAATGAAATTCAAATGAAAAATGCATAAATAAATGTTCGTTTTTTGATATTTATAAAAATACATTTTCAAAGCCCATAGCAATTGAAGGACAGTAAAACCATTGCACACACAAACAAACACACAGAGGAATGTCTGGCACACTTATATTAAATGAGTTTCAGTTCACGACACAGGAGCTTAAAATTTTAAATGCTATCTATGTTTTTACACTTCTCTCAGTCCTAATTGTCACAATTTTGAAAGTCAATATAAAATCTGTCATAATTGAGGGAGATAATGAGAAAAAAAATATACACTCAAGAGACTTTTCTAAAATTCTGGAACTTAATTTGAAACAGTAAGAAAATATTCATGTAACTATATAGAAAAGGATATATGAACACTGCAATCATTTAATTTACTAAATAATTGACGCTTATAAATTTCTTATACTTGAGACTAAGGCAAAGTTTTAGGTATGATCGAACTAGTCTGATGTTCAAAACTCATTTTCTAATAATTTTTTCCTTCGAATAAACAATTAGGGTCATCTAGTCTTTGCTATAGCCTAAGATTATTTTTAGATATGTTTTGACATTTTCAAATTCACAGGCTCCAAATGCCTTAAGTAATGAATCCATTATACCATTTTTTTCATTTATTTAGAACCAGTCTTATATCTAAGTCAATTGAAAGTCAATTTCTTAAATGATTTGAGAAGTGTCAGAAATGTCTACCTGTCAAAAGAGTAATTTTTCCACCATTTCTACAATACTTAAATATTTCAAATTAGAGAATAATTTAAATGACACGTAATTATTCCTGGAAATGTAGTAAATTTTGACATCACTAGTTCAAGTAGAAAAGAAAAATAGAAAATATTTAAAAAAATTTAAAACAATTTTACTTAGAATTATACCTAAATGTATTAGAAGTATATATTTATATTAGTCCATTCTCACACTGCTATAAAGAACTACCTAAGACTGGGTAATTTATAAAGAAAGGAGATTTCATTCACTCACAGTTCCACAGTCTGTACAGGAAACATGAGTGGGGAGACCTCAGGAAATTTACAATCATGGCAGAAGGGCAAAGGAGAAGCAGGCACATCTTCACCTGGGGGGAGGAGAGAAAGAGAACGTGAAGGGGGAAATGCTACACACGTTTAAACCAAAAGATCGCATGCGAACTCACTCATAATCACAAGAACAGAAAGGGAGAAATCCACCTCCATAATCCAATCACCTCCCACCAGAACCCTCCTCCAACTTTGGGAATTACAATTTGGGATGAGATTTGAATGGGGACCCAGAGCCAAACCACATCATTTTGCCCCTGGCCCCTCTCAAATTTTATGTCCTTCTCATATTTGAAAACACAATCATGCTTTCCCAATAGTCCCCCAAATTCTTAACTCATTCCAGCATTAACTCAAAAGTCCAAGTCCAAAGTCTCATCTGAGACAAGGTAAGTCCTTTCCACCAATGAGACTGTAAAATCGAAAACAAGCTAGTTACTTCCAAGATAAAATGGGGATGTAGGCATTGGGTAAATACTTCCATTTCAAATGGGAGAAATTGACTCTACAGCTCCACTAGGCAGTACTCTATTGGGGACTCTGTGAGGGGGTTCCAACTTCACATTTTCCCTTTGCACTTCCACAGTAGAGGTTCCCCATGAAGGCTTCACCCCTGGAGCAGACTTCTGCCTAGACACCCAGGTATTTCCATACATCCTCTGCAATCTGGGTGGAGGCTCCCAAGTCTCAATTCTTGCTCTCTGCACACCCACATACTTAAAACCACATGGAAACTACCAAGTCTTCTTATGACTTGCAGCCTCTGGAGCAGTAGCCTGAGACATATCTGAGGTCTTTTTACCCATGGCTGGAGCTGGAGCAGCTGGGATGCAGGATGCCAAGTCCCAAGGCTGTGCGGAGCAGCGAGACCCTGGACCTGGCCCACAAAAACAGTTTTCCCCCATGCCCTCCAGGCCCATGATGGGAGAGGCTGCCATGAGGTCTCTGAAATGACTTTGAGGCATTTTCCCCTATAGTCTTGGCTATTAATAAGTGGCTTTTCTTTATTTATGTAAAATTTCTGCAGTCTTAAATTTCTCACCAGAAAAAATGGGTTTTTCTTTTCTACCACATGGTTGGCCTGCAAATTTACCAAACTTTTATGCTCTGTTTCCCTTTTAAATATAAATTTCAATTTCAGACCATTTATTTATGAAGTCGTAACAGCCTACACTGTTAGAAGCAGTGAGGCTGCATCTTGAGTGCTTTCCTGCTTGGAAATTTTTCCACTACCAGATACCCTAAGTCATCTCTCTGAAGTTCAAAGTTCCACAAATCTCTAGAGCCATGGCACAATGCCACCAGTCTCTTTGCTAAAGCACAGCAAGAGTGACTTTTACTCCAGTTTTTAATAGGTTCCTCATCTCCATCTGAGACCAGTCTGGACTTCACTGACCATATCACTATCAGCATTTTGGTTACAACTATCTTATAAGTATCTAGGAAGTTTCAAACTATTGCCAATCTTCCTGTCTTCTCCTGAGCCCTCCAAACTGTTCCAACCTCTGCCCATTATCCAATTCTAAGCCTGCTTTCACATTTTTAGGTGTCCTTATAGCAATGCCCCATTCTTCTGGTACCAATTATCTCTATTAGTTCATTCTCACATTGCTTTTAAGAACTAACTGAGACTGTATAATTTATAAATAAAAAAGGTTTAATTGACTTATCTTTTGTTCCACAGGCTGTACAGGAAGCGTGGCTGGGGGAGGCCTCTGGAAATATACAACTGTGGCAGGAGGTGAAGGGGAAGCCATCATGTCCTACATGACTGAAGCAAGGGGAAAAGAGAGCAAATGTAGAAGTGCTACATACTTTTAAACAAACAGATCTCGTGAGAAATCACTCACTATCACAACAGCAAGAGGGAAACTCACCCCTATGATGTAATCACCCCCTACCAAGTTTCTCCCCCAACATTGGGAATTACAATTCCATATGAGAGGTGAGTGGAGACACAGAGCCAAATCATAGATTATTTTAAAAATAATTGAAATTTAGGGTTGGTTAACTTGAAACATAAATAATTTCTGAAATTACCTATTGAACTCTTCTTTGATGTTTTTGTTGGATCTAGGAAAAGGAAAATAAGTTTACAAGTTGGAGGTACTGATATTTTTATGAAACTTGAATTTCTAAACATTTCAAGATATAAAAAATTATATATGCTTAATATTTTTAAAAAGGTGAGAAATTTGTAAATGATGTATCCCTTTTAGAAGTGTTAGCCCGGATGAGACTGGGGGGATTCACAATATCTACAGGATACAAATTATTCATTGCCATTTGTACCCTTCAAAACTATGATGATTTTTATGTGTCAATTTGACTGCTCTACGGAATGTGTATATAAACATTATCTCTGGATGTGCCTGACAACATGTGACCAGATGAAATTAGCATTTTAATTGGTGGGCTCAATGATAGACTGCCATCTCCAATGTGCATGGGAAATCAATCATCCAATCTATTAAGGGTTTGAACAGAACCAAAATGTAGAAGAAGGAAGAACTAACTCCTTTTTGCTTCCTGCCTGCATAGTTTAGCTGGAATATCACTCTTCTGCCTTTGCACTGGGTTTTACACTATTAGTTCCCTCAGTTCTCAGTCCTTAGAACTTGGACTGAAATTACACCACTGGCTTTCCTGGGTCTCCAGCTTGCATGCAGGCAGTATATTGTGGGATTTCTCAGCCTCCACAATACTGTGAGCCATTTCCTCATAATAAATCTCATACACACACACACACACACACACACACACACACACACACACACACACGTTCTGTTGGTTCTGTTTCTCTGGACGATCTTGACTAATACAAGACCATGGAGTAGAAATGAAAGCTTCCAAATTTATTTTATGAAGCCATCTATTATTCATATAAAAGCTTCAAAAAAACAGTTTAATTTAGGAACATAATTGATTAAAAAAACATATTTGTGAATTTAATTGGTTAGCATATCACATGTTGATATACCAAAACAAGTGGGGTTTATACCAGGAATGCAAGGATGATTCCATGTTCATACCTTATTAGTATAATTTGCTTTGATATCAGTAATCTGCCTGCTCATTTTCCCTATAGTTTCTCCCACCACACTGACCTATCTCCTGCAACTCTCCACACTGGGGTGGTAGAGAGAGAATGTGTAGGACTATATAAGTAGTTTTCCTGGTGAAGGCCTGAAAATGTGTCATAATACTTCTGCCTATATTTGTTAGTCAGAACTTAATCACATGGAATACCTAACTCCAAGGTGGTGTGTGTGTGCGCGTGCATACGCACACGCATGCACTGTGCCTAAGAGATGTGTTCTGTATATTCAAGATGAAAACCAAAAAATTTGTAGACACCTAGTAAATCAGGCCATGTTCTGCAGATAACTTTTGAAATACACAAATAATAAACTACTTATTTAAAAATTCCAGTACTATTAGAAAACACCTTTGAAGAGGAAGAACAAATCCAGTTTACAAGAGCCTCAAAAATAAAAATAATTTAACTAGAAATGTTTTAAGTCTATGTAAAAAATTAAGGAATAGCTAAGAAGACCTGAATAATTATACTCACAGTGTGATCTTGAGACAATATAGTATCAGAAAGATACTCTTTATCCCTATTTTAATCTATACTTTTAACATATATAACATATATCTAATAATATGTCAGTGTGAACTTTGCAGTTAGCAAAGTTGATTCCAAAATTTACATTAAAATAAATAATAAATATTCTTAAGGAATTTTATAGAAATAAAATAAAATAGGGAAATACTGTTTCTATTATTAAAACTAATTTAAAGTTTGCTATAATAAAAATAGATTTATCCAGTAATTTCACTCTTAGAAATTTATCATACAGATAAGCACAAAACATAGAACATTTGTAGCCAGTACTATAATGGAACTGATTCATCAAATTGTATGCCCACTCTTTTGGAATAGATGACCACTGTAGCCACCTATTATGAATGTACTGTGATAAGCACTTGCTGATATCCGTTCTGTAAACTACATTTATTACAACAATGTTTAGTATACCAAAAAGTCAGAAAAAAACCCACAAAATACCAAAGGATTCTGGACCAAATAAAAACTGATATAATACACAGCCGTAAAAAGAATTAGGTAGTGTGGTATAATCCCCAGGACAAATTGTTAATTTTTTCCAGGTGAAAATAAATGAGTACATTATGCTAACATTTTTTGTATAAATATTTTAATTTTGGTATAATTATAGATAAAAAATAATTACAAAGATAGTACAGAGGGAGGTCCCCTGTACTCTTCACTGAATTTTCCATAACAGTTATATCTTACATAACTATAGTATAATAATATCAAAACCAGGAACTTAACATTGGTACACTGTATATATATAGTTCTATACCATTCATTCACATGGGTAGACTTATGTAACCACTACAGTCATGTAGAGACAAAAATTACTCTATCACCTAAAAGATCTCCATCATGCTACATCTTTACAGTCACACCCCTACCCACCATACCTAACCCCTGAAAACAAATCAAATATTTTCTAATTCTATAATATTGACATTTCATGAGCGATTTATGAATGAAATCATACTGTATGTGACTTTCTGAGATTAGCTTTTTTGTTGTTTTTAAACTCAGCAGACATGCTGGAGATATATCCAAAGTGCTGAGTATATCAATAGTTTCTTCTTTGTTTTATTGAGTAGTATTTTACAGTATGAATGTACTGCAGTTTGTTTAACTATCATTCGTTAAGGGATATTTTGGCTGTTTCCAGTGTTAGGCTCTAATTTCCGAGGAAAAGTTCCCCCAAAACTGCTATAAGAAATCATGGGAACATTTAGGGCATAGATCTGCATTTCTCTGCCATGAATGCCCAAGGAGTAGTACGCATGGTAAGTGTGTGTTTAGTTTTTTTAAAAGAAATTGCCAAAGTAGTTTTCTATAGAGACTGTACCATTTTACATTTCTGCTAGCAATGTGTGAGAGACCCAGATTCTCTGCATCCTTTGGTTATTACTATTTTTATAGTTACTATTATTCAATAACATAAATTTACTAAATATATTTAAATTAAATCACTATATTTATAATATTTAAACATCACTTTTATTTTAGCCATGCTAGTAAGTATGTAGTGATATTTCATCCTGGTCTTAATGGCTAGCAATGTTGAACATCTTTTCCTATGCTTGTTTTCAATCCACATATTCACTTCTGTGAAATGTCTTTTTATATCCTTTACACATTTTAGAATTAAATAGTTTGGTTTCACAGTTGAGTTTTGATAATTATTTGTATATTCTTATGTGAATTCTTTGTTAGATATATAGTTTTAAAAATATTTGCTCCAAATCTGTAGTTTGTCTTTTAACAGGGTTTTTCATGGAACAAAAGTTTTAATATAAATGAAGTTCAATTTAGCAATATTTTTAAAGAATTGTACTTTGATATCATTTTAAAGGATTCTTCACCAAGCCCTATGTCTCAAATATTTTTTCTTATGTTATCTTATAAAGTTGTTTTAGTTTTGTTTTACATTGAAGACTATGATCTATTTTGAGTTGATATTTGCACAAAGTGTGAAACCTAAATCAAAATTTGGGGTTTTTTTGTTTGGTTTTGTTGTTGTTGTCTATGGCTATTCAGTTGCTCCAGCACCATTTGTTAAAAACATTATCCTTGATCCTGTTACCAAAAAACTAGGGGTTTGGTCTAGATCCTGTTGCCTACCAGACAGAAGCCTAATCACAAGACAACATTGCAGCAGAGAAGGTGACAAATCAGTCTCAAATCCATCTCCCTGACTGAGTAAAATTGGGGGTTATTATATAGTACGGAAGAAATGTAACCATGTATGGGAAAACAGAAATTAGAGAGTTAAGGAGAAGAGTTGGTCAACAGGAAGCAGGTGGTTGGTTAGGCAATCATGATAGTTGAGAGATCTGGCATCTCATGGTACAGATGCAGTGACCTGGAAAGAAATGTATTAGTTTAAGTTCCTTGATACTCCCAGATGGGAGGCCTGATGGTTGATTTTCCTGACAAAAGAACTCAGCTAAGATAAATTTAACTTTTTCAATTTTTTAGACTGGAAGGGTCTATTTGTATGTTTATTCATAAGAAACGATAAATATCAGTCCTGTGGGACAATTGAGCCAGTTTCAATCTTTTAAATTGATTTTGCACCTTTGTCACAAATCTGTTGGTTGTACTTTTGTGGCACTATTTCTGAGAGTTCCCTATTCTATTCAATTGACTGTTTCTATCCCTCTGCCAATACCTTAGAGTCTTGATTACTGTGGTGATGATAAGACTTAAAATCAGGTAAAATTGTTCCTCCTACTTTTTTCCCCCAGAATTTGTTTTAACTATTTTAGTTCCTTAGCTTTTCAATATCAAATATATGTTATTTTGGAGAAAACTGACATCCTTGCTATGCTGAATCTTCCAATCCATGAATATAGAATATTTCTCCACTTATTTAGAATTTATTTGATTTTTTTCCAACAGTTTTATAGTTTTCAGCATTCAAGCCTTGTAATTGTTTTGTTAGATTAAAACCCTTGCATTTCGTTACTTATGAATGACTATACATAAAACTCGATTTTTAATTTCTGTTTTCATGTATTCATTGCTAGTATATAGAAATATAATTTCATGTGTTATGTATAGCCACCTTGCTGAACCCTCTTACTAATTTTACATTCCTTGTGATTTTCTTTGTGGAACATCATGTCATCTTAAAATTGAAGCAGTTTTAATTAATTCTCTCCAAGCAGTAATTTTTTTAACTCTCATTTTATTGTCCTACTATGCTTGCTAGAAATGTCAGTACTGTGTGGACTAGTAGTAGTGAGGATTGACATTCTTATATTATTTCTAAGCTTAGGGGGTAAGCATTCAATATTTCACCTTTTAATATAATTTAGACTATAGGTTTTATAGATTCTCTTTCTCAAATCGACAAACTTTTCTTCCATTTCTAGTCTCTGAATTTTTTTTATGAATGAAAGTGAATCATGCCAAAACCTTTTCCTATGTGATTGATATGACCATGTGACTTCCTTTTTAGCTTGTTAATATAGTGGATTACATTGATTGATTTTTGAACATTGAATCAGTCTTGCATATCTGGAAATAAATATTCTTGGTTGATAATGTACAGTTATTTTTCCACATTGCTGACTTCTATAAAATTTGTCAAGAATTTTTGCAACTGTATACATGAGGGACATTGGTCTGTAATTTCCTTTTTGTGTGTGTGCTGACTTAGTCTGGTTTTAGTATCAGTGTCAATACGAGGTACATAGGATAAATCGTGAAACATTCCCTCCATCCCTATTTTCTGAAAAGATTGTGTAGAATTAATGTTAATTCTTCTACAAACAATTGGTAGAATTAATTGTCCATTGAAACCATCTGGGACAGGAGATTTACTTTCTGAGAGTTTAAATAACAATTTAATATCCTTAGTAGTTATATAGCCACTAAAAATTTTATTTTGGATACATTTTATTTTGGATACATTTTATATTGGATGAGTTATGGTAGTTTAGACTTTTTGAAGAATTTGTCTATTTTATGTAAAGTGATCAATTTCTGTGTGTAGAATTTTCTTTTTATCCTTATACTGATAATATTCCCTTATTATATTTTTACTATCAACGGGGACCATGGTGATATCCCTTGCTTTGTTCCTGACATTACCAATATGTGTCTTCTTTCTGTTTTCTTTGTCAGTCTTCATAGAAATTTGTCAATTTTATTAATCTTTTCAAAGAACAAGCTTCATTTTTATTATTGTGCTTTTTTTTCTGTTTTACATTTTATTGGTATCTACTCTTATTGTTATTCTTTACCTTCTTTTGCTTGCCTTGGGTTTATTTTTCTATTCTATTTCCAGATTCTTGAAGTGGGCACTTTGATAACTAACTCACTCAAGACATTTCCTATTTACTAATTTAATTATTTACTACTACAATTTCCCTCCAGCAAGCATCACTATAACTTCTACCCACAAATTTTGATGTATTTTATTTTCATGTTCATTTTATTCAGTGCATTTTAAATTATCCATTAAGAGTTGTTCTTTGACAATGCATTGCTAAGAAATTAGTCGTTTAGTTTCCAAATGTTCGAAAATTTTTCTGTTATCTTTCTGCTATTGATTTCTGTATCAGTATCATTTGATCCCATTATAGTCAGAGAACATATTCTATATGATTTTAAATTTGCTTGGTTTGTTTTATGACCCACAATATAGCCTATCTTGGTATATGGCTTATGCTAGGTTGGGGGGAAGTGCATATTCTATTTTTGGGGGCATAAATGTTGATTATACCCTGTTGCTTCAGTGTTGAGTTTTTCTATATCCTTGCTGATTTTCTGCGTTCTTTCACCTGTTGAGAAAGGGTGTTGAAGTAAACTCTCCAATTATAACTGTGCATTTGTCTATTTATCCTTTCAGTTCTACCAGATTTCAATTCCCATATTTTGCAGCTCTGTTATTTGTTACATACACAATTAGGATTTTCACATCTTTGTGTTAGATTGGCCTTAATTTTGTATCTTGAAACTTTGCTGAATTCATTTACCAGTTCTAGGAGCTTTCTGGATGAGTTTTTAGCATTTTCTAGGTCCTGATCATATCATCAGCAAACAGCAACAGTTTGACTTCCCTTTTACTGATTTGAATGCCCTTTATTCTTTCTCTTGTCTGATTGCTTTGGCTAGGACTTCCAGTGCTATGTTGAACAGAGGTGCTGAAAGTGGGCATCCCTGTCTTGTTCTAGTTCTCAGGGAGAATACTTTCAACTTTTCCTTGTTCAGTAAAATGTTGGCTGTGGGTTTGTCGTAGATGGCTTTTATTACTTTAAGGTATGTCCCTTATATGCTGATTTTGCTGAGGGCTTTAATCATAAAGGGATGCTAGATTTTGTCAAATGCTCTTTCTGCATCTATTGAGATAATTATGAGATCTTTTTAATTTTAATTCTGTTTACATGGTGTATGACATTTTTTGACTTGCATGTGTTAAACCATTCTGGTCTCCCTTGTATAAAACCCACTTGATTATGGTAGATTATCCTTCTGATATGCTGTTGGATTCTGTTGACAAGTATTTTGTTGAGGATGTTTGCATCTATGTTCATCAGTGATATTGGTCTGTACATTTCTTTTTTTGTTATATCTTACCCTGGTTTTGGTATTAGGGGGATACTAGCTTTACACAATGAGTTGGGGAGGATTCTATCTTTCTCTATCTTTTGGAATAGTGTCAATAGTATTAGTTCCAACTCTTCTTTGAATGTCTGATATAATTCAGCTGTGAATCCATCTGGTCCTGAACTTTTCTTTGTTGGCTTTTTTTTTTTTTTTTTTAACTACTGTTTCCATCTCCCTGCTTGTTATTGGCCTGTTTAGAGTTTCTATATCTTTCTGGCCACCAAAATAGCATGACACTGCTATAATAATTGGCACATAGACCAACGAAACAGAATAGAGAAACCTAGGAATAAAACCAAATACTTAGAGTCAACTGATCTTCAACAAAGCAAATAAAAACATAAAGTGGGTAAAGGACGCCTTACTCAACAAATGGTGCTAGAGTAATTGGCAAGGAACATGTAGAAGAATTAAACTGGATCTTCATCTCCCACCTTATACAAAAATCAACTAAAGATGGATCAAATACTTAAATCTAAGACCTGAAACTATAAAAAGTTTAGAAGATAACATCAGAAAAGCCCTTCTAGATATTGGTTTAAGGAAAGACTTCATGACCAAGAACCCAAAAGCAAATGTAACAAAAACAAAGATAAATAGATGAGACTTAATTAAACTAAAAAACTTTTACACAGAAAAATAAATAATAACCAGAGTTATCAGACAACACACAGAGTGGGAGAAAATCTTCACAATCTGTACATCCAACAAAGGACTAACATCCAGAATCTACAAAGAACTCAAACAAATCATCAGGAAAAAATTAAACAATTCCACCAAAAAGCGGGCTAAAGACAGGAATAGACAATTCTCAAAAGAAGATATACAAATGGCCAACAAGTATTTGGAAAAATGCTCAACGTCACTAATTATCAGGGAAATGCAAATCAAAACCACAATGAGATACCACCCTACTCCTGCAAGAACGGCCATGTTCAAAAAATTAAAAAAAAATAGATATTGGCATGAATGTGGTAAAAAGGGAACAGTTTTACATTGTTGGTGGGAATGTAAACTAGTACAACTGCTGAGGAAAACAGTGTGGAGATTCCTTAGAGAATTAAAAGTAGATCTACCATTTGATCCAGCAATCCCACTACTAGGTATCCACTCAGAAGAAAAGAAGTCATTATATGAAAAGGATACTTGCATATGCATGTTTATAGCAGCACAATTCACAACTGCAAAAATATGGAACCAGCCCAAATGCCCATCAATTAATCAATGAGTGAATAACAAAATGTGATATATATATATCATATATATCCATATATATCCCCATATTCAAATATATCCATATATATTCATATATATCCATATATATCCCTATATATAGATTAATATATATCCCTATATATGGAAATATATATAGGGATATACACACACACACACACACACACACACACATATACACACACACCAATCAGTCATAAAAAAGAATGAAAATGGCATTTGCAGCAACCTGGATGGAACTGGAGACTATTACTATAACTGAAGTAACTCAGTAATGAAAAGCCAAACATCATATGTTCTCACTCATAAATGAGAGCTATGTCATGAGGACACAAAAGTATAAGAATGATACATTGGGCTTTGGGGACTTGGAGGAAACTGTGGCAGGAGATGAGGGATAAATGACAACACTTTGGGTACAGTGTACACTTGCTCCCTAAAAACCTATTGAAATAAAAAAATAATTTTTAAAAATCTTATTTTATGAGATATCTTCTGAGATCACTCTGGTAAGTGAATAAGGATAATACCTTGTTACTGTCTATGAGAATAAAAAAGTCCTAACTCTCCATGGTTTTTCTTTGATACTACATTAGAGGGCCAGGATAATGGATATGTCTTGGTACAGCTGGGCAAGAGTTGAAGTCTAGACTCTCCCCTCAACATTTGCTGGTAGGGATGAAAATGAGGCCATAATTTTTCTGCACTGTTTAGCAGGAATACAGTGATTATCTAAAAGTTTTCTATCTTTCTAAATTGCTCCATTCCAGGTTCTCTAACTTGAGAGAGTATGCTTTTCCTGGGGACATTTTTGTCTGCTGCTTTTTTTTTTTTTTTTTTTTTTTTCTGGTTTCTTCAGTACCCAGCCTAGAGTATATGAGGCAAAAAGAAACCCCAGTAAAATTCCCTTCATGTCATTGCTTGTGTCCCAAGTTACTGTATAGTCTGCCTTCTTTTCTCTATTTTTGCAAATATTCTTATATTTATGTTATATATAATGCCCGGGGGGGGTTATTGTACTTAATGAAAGGAACAGAAAAAAAATGCCTCGCTCTATCTTCCCAGAAGTGCAAGTCCTGCCATTTGCTTTTTAAAAATAATTTTTACATATACAATGCGCTTACATACATCCATATAAAGTCATAACAGATTTCCTTTTGTTATAACTCTATACTTATATAAATATAAAAATATGAAAAACTTTATATTTGCATAGGTTATCACTGAAAGAGTATACATGAAACTTATAGCAGAAATTATTGCTGAAGAAATGTGTTACAAAATACTGTGTACTATTTAAAACATTACTCACACTTTAAATTTAGCCTTTCAGTTAGAACCTCCTTCTTCCAGTAATCCACCAAAGTGATGAACACAAAGGGAAAGAAGAGGAGAAGCACCCAATATATGTTCTGTAGGCTTTTTAGAAAACATGGAGGTGCTCCTATGGCCATATACATGTGAATCTTTAAGAATGGTGATACTGCAGACATCAAAGGAATGCATACTGTTCAGAAAGGAATGCCCCACAAATGTTACCATGGAAAAACTGGAATATTCTCTCTACAACGTACCCAGCATACTGTTGGCATTGTTGTAAACAAACAAGTTAAGAGCAAGATTCTTGCCAAGATAATTAGTGTGCATATTGAGCATATTAAGCGTTCTAACAGCCGAGATAACTTTTTGAAATGCAGGAAGGAAAATGATCAGAAAAAGAAGGAAGCAAAAGAGAAACACATGTGAGTTCAACCGAAGTGCCAGCCTGCTCCACGCAAATAAGTATACTTTCTGAGACCCCGTGCGAAGCCGAGCTGCTGGAAGCTATTTCCTATGAATTCATGGCATAATAGGTGTAAATAAAAATAGAAGACCTCTTGACTACAAACAAACAAACTGAAAAATATGTATGTCTAGACAAAACACTTTAAAAGCCCTTTACAAGGGAATATCCAAATGGGCAATAAACGTAAGAAAAGGTGATCAACTTTATTATTTATCAGGCAAGTGCAGATTCAAATCACATTACAATTCTGCTGCATACTCACAATTGCTCAAATGAAAAAAAGAGAAAAGGAAAAAAAGACATATGGAGCAACTAAAAATCCACACATGGCTGGTTGTACAGTAATTTATTCTATCATTTGGCAGTGTTTACTAGAGGAGAGCATATCCATAACCAGCCTTTTAACTTCTAAGTATATTCCTAACAGAAATGCACATACATGTTCAAATGATATGCACAAGAATGAAAGTAAGAGCCTTAGTCATAATGGTAGAATACTGGCAACTACCATAGGTAAAATGTAGGAATAAATTTTCAACTGCTTATCAATTAGAATACTGTAGAACAATGAAAGTGAATGAATTACAACTACAAACATTATGAATGTATCTCACAACATATGGTTGAATTAATAAAATTCAATCTTTATTTGTATGGTTCTCAGGATAAAAGGTTTTTGAAAATCTAATATAATATATGGCATTAAAAGGAGAATAGTGGTTACCCTTTAGGCACAATGAATAAAAGCGTGCATTAAAGGGACTTCTGGAGTGCTGTCAATGTTCTGCTTTTTGATCTAGGTGCTGGTTGCATGGGGGAATTTAAATTGTAAGAAGTCATCAAACCATACACGTACGATTTCTCAACTTTTCTATATATTATACTTCAAAAAATTCAAAAAGGAATGAAAATTTGCTTATAATTAAACTATGAAAGTGTAAACGCAGTGAAGTTATTGGAACACTTCTTTTTTATACGTACTTATAAACAAAAAGAATTTTCTGTTTTTAATTATCATTTTGTAAAAAATAAAGTGAAGATTATTTTCTCTTCTCTCTGTTTTCCATATTTTAAAGCATTTCAATTAAACATCATTGGGCAGGGGGTATATGGGCAAGGAGTATGTGAAGATGCATTTGGCACAAATAAAATCTCAATAAATTATAAATATTCAATGTTTTAATTTAGACCACGTTTTACAACCATAATACAATTAAGTTAGAAATTAAAAGTTCCAATGAGTCAAATGTTAAGAGTATGCAAAAATTTATAAAACTTATACAAAACAAATAAAATAAACAGTAAATTACTGACATTTAAGAAAATTAAATCAATCTTAATTAAATTAAGAAAATTAAATTACTAATATTAAGGAAAATTAAATTAAATCAACTAACATTAAAAAAAATTTAAAAATGTGTACAAGAAAAGGAAGATCAATAATGTCTCAGACCTAAAAATCTGGAAATCAGACTTTGGCTCCCCCTTTCTGTCACACCTATGTACCTAATCTAGCAAAAATTTTGCTAGACCAGGGTTTCTCAACCACAACACCATTGAAATTTTGGGCTGGATAATTCTTTGTATTTGTGCTTTGTAGGATGGTTAACATCACTCCAGGCATCTACCATCTAGATGCCAGTTGTACCATCTCTGTCTCCGGTTGTGACAATCAAAAAGGTATCCACATATTGTCAGATGTTCTCTAGGCACAAAATAAACCAATTTGGAATGACTGCATTAGACCCTACCTCTTTATTTTGAATCCTTCCATTTGTTTTCCATTCCACTCCTAACTCCCTGTTCAAAGTCAGTATCTTCTCTTGTATGGACTGTTTTCTTGTATGCAATTTCTTGTATGTAATTTCTCTTTGTTTTCAATCATGGCTCTTTACGATTAATTCTTCACACAGAAACCATATAAATATATTTTGTCACTTTTTAATGGCTTCACTGGGGACTTAAAATAAATGTTAAACTTTTCACCTGTGGCTATGAGGCCTGAATTACTTGGCATCTCTTCATCTTTCTGGACTTATGTTCTGTCTTTCTTACCCAATCCCATGACATTTTCGACATCTGGAATTTCTTCAGTTTTTCGATGTGAACTTAGCTCATTTTCATCTTTGGCTCTTTTGCCAGGTCTCTGCCTGGAATGCTCTTCTGGAATGTTGTATCACTCACTTTTCAGTTCAAAATTAAACATTGTCTTCTCAAATTGTCTTTCTCTGATCACAAGCTCTAAATCAGTCACATTTTAAATTTCTTGAAACTGAAAGAATTTTAATTATCTGCATAGTAGTTATTATCAGATATTTTCTTTAGTATTATTATTTGCTATCCCTCAAATTAAAAACAAACAAACAAAAAAACCAGGCCAGACTCATGAAAATCAAAGAGATCTGACCAATAAGAAATGTTACTAGAAATTCAATGGATGGGCCGGGCGCGGTGGCTCACGCCTGTAATCTCAGCACTTTGGGAGGGGGAGCCGGACGGATCACGAGGTCAGGAGATGGAGACCATCCTGGCTAACACAGTGAAACCCTATCTCTACTAAAAATACAAAAAATTAGCCAGGCGTGGTGGCGGGCGCCTGTAGTCCCAGCTATTCGGGAGGCTGAGGCCGGAGAATGGTGTGAACCCGGGAGGCGGAGCTGGCAGTGAGCCGAGATGGCTCCAGCCTGGGCGACACTCCAGCCTGGGCGACAGAGGGAGACTCCGTCTTAAAAAAAAAAAAAAAAAAAAAAGAAATTCAATGGATACAGGCAATCGCATGACCAAGGAAGAGCATGTCTAAAACAGTCTAAAACCATCAGCACATATCCCTATGTCTTCTTTCATTGGGGACATTGGATTGAGATTTAACATAGGAGGTTTAAAGCAATGCATTTGAAGCATCGTTTATACAAAAGTAACTTTACTGATCATAAAATATATGCATTTTATACCTAATAATTACATGAGATATAATGTTTTCCAGGATACTTTGCTCCATAATTCCATCAATTCCAGATTTATGTTTTATAAGCAACTAGAGCAGGTCCTGAGAAAAGCATCTCACAGATAAAGACTCTGTTTTCTTCTGGTAAATACCATCAGAAGGTCTGATAACATGTTGTCAAGATGAGTTGACCTGAACATTTTTCTTTTTCTGACTGCATGTATGTCCTCATGGGAATGGTGATAAGCTGTAGGCTGGCTACTAACCCTTTTCTTCCTACTCCAGATACACTCCCCATCTCCCAACACAAACCCACTTCTTCAGAGCAAGTACTTTCAAAGACGTCACTTCTGTATCTCCAGTACCTAAAACTACACTTAGCACTTAGTAGCTTGTGAAGTTCATAAATAAATGAAAAAATTTTAAAGTTACAAGAAAATCTAATCCTCATTGATGATGCAAGACAAAATTTCATTTAATTATAATGTAATACTAGAATTATGCAAAAATAAAATAGCAATGAAGAGATCTGAACATGCCTCTATCAAAATTAAAAACAAATTATTGGTATGTAAAAATAAAATATGATTAATAAGAGTGTTCTAGCATAAACATGCTCTCTCACATACAGAAACAGACACGCATGTCAAACCACTTGTATGCTGGAGCCAGCTCATAGCTTGTAAGAGCCAACTGTTGCATTAATTTTGTGTCAGTTGTTAAATACAGTCATTATTATGAAAATTATATAAATATAAAATTAAATAAGAAATAAAAGTAGTAAACATGGAAAAACATCACTTTCTAATTAGTTTACTGCATTGTACTATTATCTATGCTTTCAAGTTTATCTTTATTGTATCTTTGGCGTGGAATTACTAGATAATGGTGTATTACTGCTCATCTCCTTTCTAACTCCACATTTAATTACATTACTTTGGGAATGTGAGATTGACCACAGTAACAGCATTTATGCCATAAATATTAAAAAATGCTACAAATTAGGCTCTTTCATTTTGTGATGAGAGCTAGTTGTTAAACATTTACCAGCACATCATTATACCAAACTGTATAATAATATAAAGAGGAAAAAATAGAGCAGGTGAACAGAAAAATGGCCCAAAAAGTAAAAAGGTTAGAAAAAAAAAAGAACTATAAAAGGTTAATGAAATAGAGATTGATAAACTATCTAATGTCACTTATCTTTTTTCTTAATAACAGAAACTGCTTTTTTTGGGACAGTGATGGCACCAGCTGGATATGATTCTCGGGTTCCTTTGAAATTAGGGAGGGCCTTATGACAGTTCTTGTCCATCAGCCATAGGTAGAAATGTTGGCCACTGGCGAAAGCTTCGCTTTTATCACATAGGTTCTAGATAGATAGATAGATAGATAGATAGATAGATAGATAGATAGATCCTATCTGTATTTTATATATATATATGTAAAATGTCATTCTACCTGAAAGGGGAACTTGATGCATAAAGCTATTATCTCCTGGTTTTTATGGAAAATAAATCAACCTCTAAATTCCTTACTTGTTTATTTCACTGTGCTAAGAGTTCTCTGTTATATGATGTCACATCCAAATATCAAATACACACATGTTAAGAAATAGATGGGTGGGGTGTGGTTAGTCATGCCTTTAATCCCAGTACTCTGAGAGGCAGAGGAGGAAGAATTGCTTGTGTCCAGGAGTGCGAGAGCAGCCTGGGCAGCACTAGAAGACCATGTCTCTACAAAAAAAAAAAAAAAAATTTAAAAATTAGCTGGACATGATGGT